TCGAGCTGGCCCCAGGGATGTCAGCAGGCATTTTTTGGGCCCAAAAGCCTGCAGCAGCAGGGCAATCACGGATTCCCTTTTTGAGTTGTTCGACCTCTAGCTCAAGAGAAAACAGACCATTGGTTGAGCTGAATGATGCAGGGCAGCGCAAGTATTGTCCGGCACGGTTCTCAATTCCGGCGCCTTCCGCACATGATGCGCTATCCTGCCTCCGTGTTGTGCCCACATCTGGCATGGATGTGGCCGAGTTGGACGTGCACTTGTGATCAGGACTGGTTCAGCATATTTTCAAGCAACTGGGCCGAGGCCGGAAGCCTGCGGCGTCAGATTCGGGTTCAGAGATGTTCAGAGACTAGGAGAGTTAGTCAGCCCTCGCCAGTGAGGCTGGATCTGATTTTTTTTGGGGAAGGCCACTCTCCTCTAGCCTTGCCGAGGCGGTCTCGCGTTAGCGGCTAAATTACTTCAGGTGTTGAATATTTTTCCTGTAGGGCATCGCAAAGTGTGAGGACGCTTAACGCGAGCGAACTGCGATGACGGTTTATGGGAGTGAACGATTTCGTGCTAAAATCCAAGGGCGCTCCATGCCGGAGAGCTCAAATTCGCCCCATGACGCCCCATGCGAGAGCTCGACTTCATGCCAAAAGGCATGGACAGTCCATGCGAGAGCGCGAATCCAAGTCCAAATGCGACATGCGAGGACTCGTTGCCTGAAAGCGCAAAAAAGAGCTCATGTGAGATGGGGAAGTCCCCGCGAGAACCTGTCAAGTCGCAACATGTTGAGATACTGCCTGGGGGAAAACACCAACAGGACGACAATTTGCAAACATATTGACCAAACGTCACGTGAGAGTGATGAAGATGATGTGCCGATGCTCTTTGAGGCTAGCCTGCAGCCTTGAAAGGTGTTACGGGCGGCAGCAAACATATCTTCGTATGACATGCTGCTGGGACGTAAGTCATGAAAAAGATGCGTGCAGGCAAACAATGCAGGAGAGGTGAGAGCACGATACTCTCGTACAGTAACCTTGCACCTTGCACATTTCAAATCAGCATCTGGATTTAGGCACAGGCCCCCCCCCCGTCGTGCAAACATAATGGCTACATGTCATGCTGATCGGACGAAACGCTCGAAAATTCTCTCACAGGCAACTTTACGAGAAGACTGGAATCTGTATGAGAGTGAGACAACGCCGCCTCTTGAAACTGGCTACCTACCGCTGGGGTCTTTTGCAAACATGGTGAGAAAATCAAAGTTACGGCTTACGTAAAGTTAGCACTTACCTCTTTAAAAACTGCTTGCCGGCAAACATCTCAAACAGGCTGATGGGACAATACTCCTTTTGGCCTTTTGGGTACCCTTTGCAGGAGCAGCACCCCCGTCTGCAAATGTGATGATCAAATGTCATGGTGCTCTGACGACCCTGAAAATCTGTTGGCAACTTTTGCAAACATGGTGATATGAACACGATTTACGGCTCAAAGGCTGAAGCCTAGAGCTCTTGCAAAACATGATGACATGATACTCCGTGATGTAAATTTNNCCCCCCCCAAAAAAAAAAAAAACATTGGAGACAAAGCTGGGCCTCACAGCTTTGTGGCAAGAATTGCTTCGGATTTCATGGGAGCCTTCAACTCGGAAGTCATGCCAGGTGGAAGTCTGCTGGGAGGAAGGTTTGGGCTATCCTTCAGGTATTGTTTGGGGATTGTTTCGGGCATTGCTTGCTACAGACTAGTGCAATTCAGAAACCAATCTGTTGCTTGTGCTTCCGTACTTCAGGCTATTGCGTTGAACATAAAGCAACAGGCAACGCAAGAAACTGAGGGCAAGAGTCACAAAGCAACAAGCAGGAAGCAAAAAGAAAAAGCAACGAGCCGGAAGCACCCAAAAGGAGAGCAAAAATCAGAAAGCTATGAGCAGAACGCAAAACATGAAATAAAACAAGCTGGAAGCAAAACACTGAAAGCAATTGGCAGAAAGCCAAGAAGAAGCGGAGAGCAGCGCAAAACGCAGAACACACGAACCCGAAAGCCAAAAGCATGAAGCTGTAAGCAGAAACGGAAGGCAGCAAGCCGCAGAAGCAATAAAAACATAAACAAGATGCGTTTCCCACATCTTGATGTTGGCTTGCGAGCTTTCAGAGAGCGCGCTTAGAGAAGGGAAAGCCCCAAGACGTGCGGGTGTTTGAAGGACGTACCACCTGGCACAAGGCCCAGATGCCACCGATATCACTATGATTCCGTGGAATTCGGTGACAGTGCTCCTGAGGAGAGGGATGGGCGCTCCTTAAGCGGTTCAGGCCATAGTCCAAATTAAGTAGCATGTTTTCTTTTACATGTGGGGAGCGTCTAGCATGTGTTGTGCAAAAGGTCAGTACATTTTTGTGGGTCCCTGCTTGTACCATAAAGTGTAGGGATGTAGGGGTGACATTGCCTTCATCAAGGAGGGCCTTAGCTGTAAGAAACGGACCACTAGTGTAGTAAGTCCTTTCCCTGCTGGTTGCGGATTAGTGGTTTATGCGAAAAAGCCGGTTTAAGGTTTTTGCATTAAAAACGTGCCTCAAGACTTAATCCCCAATGACTGATCTCTAATCACGAGACCAGGCTTGCTTCTCTCAGGCGCCTGCTGATCAGAAGTCCATGCGTGGATGCGCCGTCTATGAGTGATTTGCTGAAAAATGGCGACTCTGCCGCCCACACCTCTCTTGCCTTGCACCTCTCCCTCCCCGTTGCTCTGAGTCCTCCTCATATCTCACTGCTGCATTGCTGCATTGCTGCATGTTTGCCGCTCTCTTTACGGATTTCCTTTTGTTGTTTCATGTTGCTTCTTTTTGTGGTTGGCTGATTGTTTTGTCTTTGGCTGCATGTTTTCTCACCGAGACAGCTTGGTGCTGAGGCCTCAAACACTGTAAAAGAGTTTTTTTTCAGCTCTTTCGAAGCGGCGGAAGGGGTTGGGCGAGGAAGGGGCTGGCCGCTCCCTCCCCCATCACCTTTTCTCAGGACAATGAAACAGGACTGGGATCGGAACAAAAAATGATAATAGCAGCTACAAAAAGAAGATAAAATGTATAACAATAACAACAAGCATGACGGTAAGCAGCAGGAATAAGTTTACAGAAGGGACTGCGGCCACGCAACTTCTAACAATAACAATAACAACATTGACAGTAGTTGAAAAACTAGCAACACCCACGGCATTAATAGCAACACTAGTTGCACAATCAGTAATAGGAACCACAAACATATCAGCAGTGATATAGTGGTAATAGATAGTAGCAATGGCGGCAGCAGCAGCAGCAGTAGTAGCGGTCATCGCCGTTGTTGCCGCCGTAGGAGAAGTGACAGTAAGACAGAGTAATAATGCTTCAAACAGTCAGGGCAATAGTAACAGTAACAGCAATAGAGCAACCCTGCAATAGTAGCATTGTAAACATGACCGCAGTAGCAGCAGCAAAGCATAATCATGATAGTAATGATGACTGATGGCAATGGCAACACTACTAGCAACAAGAGTAACAACAGCGTCAGAAATATTTGTAATCAATGGCAATTATCGCGCGGCTTGTCACGGTGCTGGCAGCGGCGCTAGGCAATGATAACAGCCATAACTGGCCATAACAGTAGGGAAAATCAGTGTAGTAGCATCAGAGGTAAGATTGACAATCAATGTAGAGATAATTACAGAAACCGTCATAAGAGTAATGATATCACTTGCAACTAACAAGAGGGAATGGCCTAACAATAGCAGTGACAACATTCAGCATGAAGGTATGAAAAAGCAGCGACAATGAAAGCCATCTCTGTGATATCACTACCACCAACTGTAAATGTGGTATTCGAAGGTTTAGCTTTAGGACGAATTTGTGTTGGCTTGAGGTCGGCCAGTTGAACATGGGCAGATATGGGCAGCGCAATCGGTTTGCCTCTGGGCACTACCATCTTTCTTCCCACCTCCAGGCCCGAAGAAACGGACACTTCGTCAAAGTCTGTCGACGCGGACCTCTCGGACAATGTCGATTTCATCACCTTTGCAATGCCACTTGCATCCCCCATCCATGCCCCACAAAAAGAAGGCCGAAGGTGTCACATTTGCCAGCGGTTCTTCTGTGATACCATGCATGTAATGCAGCTGAGTATCTGCATCCTTCATGAGATCCTTGCTATGCTGCGTGTCGTGCCAATGCTACGCAACTGCAAGTGGAAGCTGTAGCTGTGCTGCTATAAGAGGACTTCCATAGACAAATGTTGGCGCCTCACATTTCCCACTTTACCTTGTGACTCGCTTGCTCTGACTGGCATCAAGATGTCTTGCATCACCAGTCCTGTGAAAAAGACTCGGAAACCCTGCGCCACCAGCAGGGTCCGTGCTGCAGACTCACCGGGGCCTCGGGCAGCGGCACCGAAAATCTCATGCCTCTTGCCTTGCTGCCGTCATAGCCTCTGTTCTGTTCCTGTTTCGGGAGCCCAGGTGCCGATGTTGTAAATGGCGATGCCCATTGACTTACAAGAGCCGCACGCCTCAGCTGCTCCACCTGGCATCGTGCGAGCTTGATGCACTTCACTGCATTTCACTGCCATTGCAACCGTGAGATGGCCTCCAAGTCCAAGGCCTTGGCGCTCAGGTGTGCGGGCGCTGCGCCTTCGAAGCGCCGCACCAGATCTTGAACGCAGCGTTGGGGTACCTGACGTCTCTTGTACGGCGAGGAACACTGCACGGTTCCTAGCCAGCCCTTGGCCAGCAATTGCCTGAACAGCTGCTGGCCGCGGCCGAAAGGAAGGTCTCACATGTTTCACCAAGCTGTACGTGTTTTATCTGGTTCAAGCCAAGCAGCAGGGCCACGAGCTGCTGCAGCGATCATCTTAGCCCGGATGCTGGCTCGGATGCTCGCAACCAGCCAGGAGGCTACAGTTTTCTGCTCTCTGAGCCGAAAAAAGAATGCCAGCAACTAGGCATAATTGTAGTTGCAGTCGACAAGACAAGCGGCAGCAGAAATGTCAAGCGCCTGGACAAAGATGCGGCCTGTTACCTGCAACAACGGTCAGTCACTCAACACCCAAGCTGCGTCGCAAATGGTGCACCTTCTGAAACCGAACTCATAGCTCGCAAGGACAGTGGTACTGGTTTTCCATCACAAGTCGCACGCATCCAGTTTTCGGTGCTTGCGCATCATGCGAGCTCATCAGGTGACCGCTTGCAAACCTCCATTGTAAACCATACCAGCGTACCAGCAAGCACTAGCTCCAATAGTATGGATGCCCATGTGTACTGTCAGCATGTGCCAGACTGAGCTCGGGGTGAAACAAGGCGCTTGCGACGCCCAAAGGACGCAGCGACGTGCAGACTTTCATGGGGCTTGTTGCCGGTTCTGCAGCCACCAACCTTTCAGAATCTTTCAGACTTTGCAAATGCATTTGCACGCCCCACCTGATAGTGCAACCATGTGAGCAAGATTGCTGCAGGGAAAGGTAGCGGCGCCTGCGTGCCCGCCGCCTCAAGCCATTAACCATCCTGCTCTTCTTGTTCAGTCTGGAGCTCTTTCAGCTGCTGCGTCAGACTCGTGACCTGGCTTGGGCTGCCACATGCATGCCTCGAGCTCCCTTAAGGTCACTTCCACTTCGCCAGCCTTGGCCTCAAGTTCTGCGTTCTGTCGCCTGAGTTCGTCGTTGTCCGCCCGGAGCTCTTCCACATCAACACCTGGCGTGGCTGGGCTACGCGTGGCATGGTGTTTTAGCTGCAATCTACATTTTCGTGCGTCGGCCTGTTGGTGCTCCCAGGTATTTCTTGATGTAGTCGATGGCCTGGGTCCAGCTTTGAGGCGTGGCTTTTCTATGAATGAACTCAAAGTCTCTACTCGCCGATGCCTCTTGGGAGCATCTGCTACTGTTGCCCTTGCCAAGCTGCATTGGCCGGCCGCTCAGGCTCCTCATAGAGCCCCACGAGGACTCGAGTGAGCTGCGAGATAATGCCATTCTTCCTGGGCGTGCAGACTGTTGGTGATTGGATGGGCAGTCGGCGTCGCAGTTGCATTACCTTAGCAGGCGCTGTTTGCCCGAGCCGCTCCAGGTATTTGCGGAACTCCTCCTTCTGCGAATCAGCAGTTTCGTAGCTCATGGCTTCTCAGGCACTCTGAGACACTCTGGGATGTCTCTCAACCTTTCACCGCAGGCTTGGGAGCTTGGGCCGGTGCAGCGCGGCAGTTTGCGTCAGTGGCCCAAGCAGACAAAGAAGCACCGGAAAGTCACGAAAACTGAGGCAAGCACCTCGTCTGATGGGAGGCGGAGCTCCAGATCCTGAAAGACTTTCCACTTCCAAAGCTCTTGAACGCCTGCCAGGGCCTGCGTTCTCCCTGGTCTAGCTCTTCACTTCAATGCTTTGGGAATGCGTCCAGCATCCGCGTCCATTTCTCTAGACGTTTCTCACTGGAACCCTGAGCGCACCACCATCACCGGACCTGTCAGGGTGCCCCCTGATGCTGAGGCGCAAAGAGACTCCGATGCCCTCAGAGAGCGCTCCAAATTCTTGCTACAAGCTGCAACAAGGACACTCTCGTGCTACACTGCTACACGATTGCTACACGGTATTACACGGTGCTGGGGCACCAGCGTAGGATCACCCAGCAACGCTTCGACTGAAACCTGTGCGGCGCCTGCCGTTGGTCAGTTGCATGCGCCACTGCCACATTCACATACACTCACCAACTTGGGCCAGGCAACCGCAGAATGTCGGCCGACCGATAACGTTGCCTTCCATGACCTGCCAGCTGCCAACCATGTCCAGCGGCGGCTGTACTTCCAACACGTGGCCTGGAACTCCACTGCTGTTGACGAACCCATCTTGAATGGCTGCCCACGGCAGGTATGATCCTAAGCACAGTCAACTGCAACAAAGACCGGCTGCCTCTTGCTCATAACTACGAAGGCTGGATGCAAGCTCGGCCTCTCAGTTTCAGCTCAGCCCTAACAGCTGTCAAAGATTTCTGAGGAGCACGCCCAGTGTGGGCGTTCCAGTCCGTTCGCGTGCGGGAGATTTCTTTCCGAGCCTGCAGCAGCCAAGACACACATTTTTTCGGGAGCTGTAATGCCATTGAAAATAAAGTCATGCTAGGCAGTCGGCTCCATCGCCCTCGACGAAAGGCTCAGCTCCACATCCACAGGAGGGTCCTTATGTGGCACTTTATACCGGATACTGTGAGACACAATCATAGGCTGGCCTTTGTGGACAATAGAAGAAAAGCACCTGTCTAATCAATCTTGAGCTTGCTGGGTATGGCTGCGAATCCATGCCCAGACCCCCAGGATTGGCACAGCACACAGCACGGCACATTACAGAATAGTGTCAAGGATATCAGGAATCAGAGCTGACCGTACCCGTTGCAAACCTCGGAAGTTTTCAGCAAAGTCCCTCAGGGAGAAGCTGTCTCAGTGCCAGAGTTCGGCTTCGGCTTCGAATTTGAAGCACACAGTGGCGGATGCACAGGCCGGAGCAAAGACCTTGACACCCCCTGCGAAGCACAAACTTGGTTCATGCAACTCACTCTTCATCACCTTCAGGAATCGCAGGACTGAACGCCTCAGTTCGGGAACGCCATTTGACATTGAAAATTCTGCCCTGATAGGATCCCAGACCATGCTGCTGCACACTGATGCACACGGCTGTGCGAACGGGACACCATGGGCCGCTTCTCCTGCTGTGTGCCGAACATACCTTCCACCCTGTGGTGATCGCAGGTGAACAACACAAAGGATTAACAACTCTGATGCAGCAGTTGCCTTTCCGACTTTTCCTCCACCAGGTGGTGCTGCTCCTTCTCTTTTTCCTTCAGCATTGCTTCGACTTCGCTGACTTGTTCATCTGGCCTGAGGGCAGCAGGCAAACCCGTTGGCATGTTGGCTTGCAGGAGGCCCTGGCCTGGTTAAGTCGCCCTCAAGATCGACATCTGTCTCGTACTTGTCTGGTTGTACCTCTTGTACCTCTTGTCCCTTCTTGCGTAAGGCGTCGACTTCAGTTTTGGCTTGCTGCTGCCTTGGGCAATACCGGCCGATGCACAATTCTTTGAGAGCACGTGGCCAATTCAACAGCACGCAGCCTGAACTTAGCCTGGATTTTTGTGGCGGCTGCCACTGTTTCTTCTTTCTCTTTACGCTTCGCCTCTACTTCCTGTGCAGCCTGCTTCTGCCTGTCAACCGTCATGACAAGGCCGCGCAGCTCGTCTTGTGCGGCAGTCGGTCTGGCAGAAACTGTCACAAACGGGGCCTGAACTTGGCCTGGATTTTGGTAGCCGCGTCAGCCGTCTCATCAGTCACGGGAATATCCATGCTCTCACCAGGCCCCGGCTCATCCGGCTCTTGCTCTTCACGCATCTCCTGCCCCTTTTCTGTTCGCATTGCCTCCACCTCCTGGGCTGCCTGTTTCTGCCTGCACAAAATGCAAATTCGATGCCCTCCACTCAAACAATGAATGATTGAAATGTGCCCGTGCCTGAATCTTGCCTGGATTTTGGTGGCGGCGCCAGCCGTCTCTTCGTTCATGGGGATATCAATGTTGCCATCGGCAGTGTCCTGCTCCTGCCCTTTGTTGTTCTCTCTTTCATTTCCTCTTCGCATGGCCTCCACTTCTTGAGCTGCCTGCTTCTGCCTGTGCATACATTTTGCAAATCAATCAAAGGTGGGATCAAGCTTTTGACTGAGACAAAGAGGCTTCTCCTTGACTTGCTCTTGTTTCGTTGCAAACGCACCACAAAGCCGTGGAGCTACTGACCATGGACGTTCATGACATCTTTTGGCCCAAGCTCCAGACGCACATGCACTCAGAATCGCTCACGTAACAATGTAGCCCCCTTCGGACCCAACAAATGCGCACCCGGCCCGCCCCAGGCACAACCATTTTTGCACGCTTCTGCTGCCATGTCGAACCATGTCCATATTTGAACTGGTATTGGTTTGCTGCGCCCTCGGAGGGGCGGATGTTGGCATGCGACAGCTAGCATGCGGCAGCCGTGTTTGGTGGCTAGCGTCTTGCTTGGTGTAAATCCCTGGCTACTAGAGATATCAAATGAGACTAGCTCCTTAAACCTCAAAGCAACACCTGCCAGACAAAGTGCGACAGCAAGAGCCAACGCTTCGGCACCATGATATTGAAATGTGCCCCTGCCTGAATCTTGCCTGGATTTTGGTGGCGGCGCCAGCCGTCTCTTCGTTCATGGGGATATCAATGTTGCCATCGGCAGTGTCCTGCTCTTGCCCTTTGTTGTTCTCTCTTTCATTTCCTCTTCGCATGGCCTCCACTTCTTGTGCTGCTTGCCTCTGCCTGCGCATACGGCTGTCAAATTCATCGAAATTGCTGAGCCTCCCTCGACTGATAAGTTTGAGAATGCTCTTTCAGTTGAACGCCCGCGCCTGAATCGGGCCTGGATTTTGGTAGCGGCGCCGGCCGTCTCATCATTCATGGGGATATCGCTGTTGTCACCCGTAGCATCAGTAGCACCCTGCAGCTTTTCTTTGGCAGCCAGGTGCACGTTAATGATTGCTTTGCCGGAGTCCAAGACCACTTGAACCTTTACCGCAATCTGCCGACGGAACTCGTCCAACATTTGCTTTCTGTCATGGGCCCTGCCATGCACACATGCCTTCACCGCATGCAACGCTGCAATCAGGCTATGGCCTGCTCCCTCCGCAGTGCTTTTGCCGCAGGCTTTGCACTTCGCTGGCAGCCTGCTTCTGCCTCTGCTTTGACTGCTTCGAAAGGAGGACTGTGTCAAAATGTTAGGTGAGAAAAGTGGGCTTCACACTCTTGATTGGCTTTCTGAGTCACTAAGCAATCGTTGGCTTGTAGAGTGGGCAAGCACACTGGGTCACTCCAACCACTCTCAGCACCTGAATTTGGATTGGATTCTTGTGGCAGAGGCCGTCTCCTGCTCCTGACAGCAGTGGGACGGGAGCACTCGGCTGATGCCAAACTCGCAAGATTTGTGAATGGCGAAAGTTATTTTGTCAAGGTCTCCTTCTGACGACGTTCAGCTGCTCGCTGTCGATAGCGTGATTGAATTGCCTTCAATCTGCAGGAACCCTAGCAGCAAGGCCCATGCAGCAGCATTCCGCCTCAATACGCGCCATGCCAACTTTATCCTAATCCTTCCGAGACTGAAGTATGTGCCGCAGGCAGTGAAGGACATTCAACCGTACCAATGCGTGCCTTTAACTGTAACTTGCACGCTGCCTTCTTTCAAAAGAAGCAAAAGATACAGAAGAATGGTACCGTGGCTGTCAGTCAAGGCGCTGTTGCTGCCTGAGCTGGGGCTGCCAAAAAGAACAAGCTAGCAGCTCCATGGGGGACCTGTGCCCACTGTTAATGGGGCTAAAGTTAAAGTTGTGCCCAGATGCTTGTTTCTGTTCTCGCATCTCCTGGACCTGCTTCTCTGCTTGTCGGCCACGATACTTTGCCTGAATTCTTGCCGCCGCTTCACTCTCCTCCTTTTGCTGCTCCTTGAGTCGCTGAACCTCACCTGCAGCCTGTTTCCTCGGAGCGAGGTTAAGACAGCAGCAACTGCAAGCAGATGCATGCGGCAGTTGTCGAATCCCGCAACTTGCGCTAAGGGGAAGCTCATAATGACGGCCTTGAAAGACCTAATAGGCAGAGCTTCCCATACCCCCTCGGACTGATCAGCAAAGCTGTGGGTTAAACAACAGCTCCTAAAAGGGAACTTTCGTATTCGTACTGCTAATTACAGCACCTCCTCGTCTCAGGCAAAACATACGAATATATCAGGTGTCCTCTTATATTTTACTAGACCGCTATCACAGGGAGGGGGTCCTCCTAATGTAATTAAATACACGGACGAACAGCAGTAGTGGCGCATGGCTATCAAAAAAGTGCATCTTCAAGCAAATGCTGCATACAATGGCATTGACCATGCTCACCTACTGATGCATGGGAAGCCAGCATGCAATCATCGAATTCCAAATGTGACACAACTCTCGCATCAAGGTGTCTGTCGAAACTTGGCCTGAATCTTTGTGGCTGCTGACTCCTGCGTGGCTCGAAGAGGCGCCGCGCAAGTACGGCTCGAGGCAACAGACAACTATCTTGGAAGACGCGTCACTCCGTCTCCCAGCAAGGGAGTGATTGAGAGATCATGCGGACCGTAGTACCCGTCCTCCTCCCTGATTTGCTGGAGACTACGCAAGCTGCGTACACCATGGACCAGCGCCTGCTAGCAGCGGCTGCCACGGCAACAAAAATGCAAATGTATCAAGGATGGGCCGCGCTGTTATGACATGAGGAATGGCTGAACTTTGGGACCTGAGGTGCTGGCTTGGTTGGTGCAAACTGGCCTTTTGCAGTGCGTTCACGTGCGTGCTGCAGGCGCAGAGCCCCTTGCTGCCTCCTTGTTGTTGTTGTTGTTGTGGTCTTCGAGTTTGTTTGAAGCAGTCCCTTCTGCTTCATACGCCAAATGACTTAGTGAACCCAGATTTCTCAAATCCCTCCCCCACAACCTGCCCTCCTCTTCCGTCCCCCTTTGGCTATCGTGCATGCGCAATGACTGTCGGCAACAGGCACGAGATGGCAAGCGAACACCCACAAATTGCCCAACAACCCATCCCTCCAGGCGGGAGGGGACTGGTGCGCCCTTTCTCACCCATCAGAACATGCACTTCCAAGAGATTTCACCGAAGACCTAGAGAACCAGTACTTAAGAACTCTCACGCCCGCTCGGCCTCCGGTGGCGGAGAGTCGGCCTGGGGCGATCGCTGAAGATTGACACGATGCACAGCCGAAAGGCAAAACTTTCTAGCAGAACATACATTTCATGCAGGACAGTGGTTATTCAGAGCAGAACGTACAATGCACGACTAGCTTTGAGATCATGATCCCTGTGCATTTTGCAATCCACACAAAACATTTGAGGTGTTCTAATGCTGCTAACTACTAATTAGATTAGAAAAGTGAAAAGTTCAACATTCCAGGGGTTGGGTTTTGCTCGGGAATCGGATTTGCTTGAAGTTTGACATTTGTTTTGGATTTTGCGCGGAAAATTTTGTAGGATGTCTGTCCACATGCCGCCAGCGGCTCGAACACTACAAAGTCTTGTCTCAAAATGGCACTTGGTCTACGCATATACCTTCGACAACGGGTGGAGGATTTTTGGGATCAAACAAGCAAAATTTGAGGATCAAAATTAAAGGACCGGATAACCCCACATGTGTAGCTTTGCCAGAATCTAAAGCATATACTGAAAGAACGGAGAAGGGTTTAAAGAAGAGATAAAAAGAAAACACGGCAATCGGCGACGGATCGACGTGTGAGTTGCGCGGGGACAAGAATCGCTGCGTACTGCGTGGAGTGTCAAAGCAGGAGCGCAAAGCAATGTGCACGCAGCAGCATACGTGCACACGACCTACACCCGAGCTGCGCAGGGATGCGACTACAGAGCTGACTTTCTGTTTTCTCCCAAGCCCTTACAAGCGCTGCAATCTCATGCTGGCGGTCTGCCGCACCTCCCCATCCCAGGTCGCACGCAGCCACACCGGGTCACCGGGACACAATTAGGAGTCTTCGCAAGGCAGAAGCTTCAGACATTGCAACTGCGCGGAATCGAAAAGACCGACCGACCGCCTGACGCACGCGCTTCACGGGGTGAGGGATCAAAAAAAACTTTTCAACCAATCAAATAACATACGCCCAGCGCATCGAAAAGAAACCTTAAGCATCAAAAAAACTTTTGTAC